TTATTAAATAGTGGGCTTACATTAGCCAGCCTCCAATCCATAGGAAACATTCCAGAGTCTGTAAAATCTTGAAAGATGATCACCTTTGCATCCACTACTTCAAGGGCTACTTCTATTAGTACTCTCGACGTAGATTATTGTGCTTGAGGCTTTATCAACCTTTAATCCCATCAATTTGGCCAAACCATTTCCCGACTAATACTGATTACCTTCTGTTCCTCCCACTCACTGAACTCTGTGATCCCCAACATCTTTTGAACATTAGTTGTGTCGTGTCAAGACTCTCTTATTTGCAATTAAGATGACTCACTTTCTTTACTTAAAAAAACTGACATTTTCTAGTTATACTGCAGTCATTAGAAGTCACTTGAGATGGCCTTAAGATGTGGCAAGGTAATTTATATGTGCAAATTCTTTTAATTTACACAGTAGTTATTTTATTCTTGTCCCCAGTGATCTCCTTTGGCCCAGTAGCTCAAAAATATCTAAATAAGTCATTGTCCTCTTATTTCATTGTGATCTGCAAATACTCATTAGCAAAATCTCATTAGCGAATTATTATAAATTAGATATTGTGAAAAGTGCCTTGAATGATAAATACAAACTTGACACGAATCTGAGTTTATGTCACAATTCTTTGATGATCATTTCCTTACAAATACCAAAGGTTTAAATATTGTCTAACACAAAACTAACTTAACAAAGCAGAATCAAACATTAAATTGAAATAAAGTTAAATTAGCACCATAGTGAGTACAACAATACAATAGTTAAGGTATTGTAGTTACTATGATAATTGACTAGTTATGCATAAAGTTCCACTTTCACAGGAATCGTCAATCTGCACTAGTTTTCTGAATTGATTTTATGGTTCAATTTCTAGGTCAAGGTCATTTTCGTAATCAAAAACATAAAATTTTACATTGTTGAGTGCAATTGGACAGTGTTTCAGAACAGCCATAATTTTCTTCCATGAAGAACATTCTTTGATGTATTTAAGAATTATAATCTCAAATTTATAATACCATATTTATTAATATACAAACACACAAGTTAGAAGTAGTAGGCCATTCAGCCCCTTATTCCTGCTCTGCCAATTAGATCATACTTAAACTAATAGTAACCTCAAATTCACATTTCCATCTACAGGAGATAACTTCTCACCCTATCTTAATGAGGTTGTATCTACTTCTACTTGAAAAAAAATTCAAGGACTTACGAGAGGTGCCAGAGGATTGGAGAACACCAGTGTGTACAGTTATTCAAGAAAGGGCAAAGAATAAACTAGAAAGCTATAGGCCAGGACAATTAGATCATAGGCTCAGGACAAACTCAATGGTGGGGTAACTACTGGAAGCAATTCTGAGAAACAGAATTAATTTGCACTCGGAGAGGCAGGGATTAATCAAGAACAGTCAGCATGGTTTTGTTAAGGGGAGGTTATGTCTGATCAACTTGATTTTAAATTTTTAAAGAAGTGACCAGGCATACAGAAGAGTGCAATAAATTTGGTGTAGTCTACTTTGGCTTCAGCTTGACTTTTGATAAGGTCCTACATGGGAGACTAAGAGCGAAGATAACAGCCTGTTGGAATCAAGGAAATATGGCTGATTGATCCAGAATTGGCTGAGTAGCAGGAAGCAGAGGGTGATGGGTGAGGGGTATCATTATGACTGAAAGACTGTGTCCAGTGGGGTTCCACAGGAATTTGTTTTGGGACGCTTGGTGTTTGTGGTATATATAAATGATTTAGACTTGAATATAGGGAGTCAGTCAGTAAGTTCAGATATGAAAATTGGTGGGGTCAGAAAAAGTGAGGAGGTTAGCCTTACATTACAAGAGGATATAGATGGGCAAGTCAGATGGCAAATAGAATTCAATGAGTATAAGTGTGAGGTGATGCACTTGGGCCGGATAAACAAAGCAAGTGAATACATGATGAACAGTACCAAGGATCATAGGGACCTTGGTGTGCATGTCCACCAATCCCTTGGAGTCAAGCGTTGGGATGATAAAGTGGCTAAGAAGGCATACGGGACACTTGGCTTTTTTAGCTGAGGCACAGAGAGGTTATGCTGGAACTATTCAAAACGTTGCTTCGGCTACAGCAGTATTTGTGTGCAGTTCTGGAATCCACTGGATTGCACTGGACAGGATGCAAAGGAGATTGAGCAGGATGTTGCATGGGCTCGAGAGTTTTAGTTATGAAGAGAGATTAGATAGAGTGGGATTGTATTCTTGGAGCAGAGGGACATGATTGAGATGTATAAAATTATGAGGGGCATAAACAGGTTATACAGGAAGGAATGTCTCTCCTTGGTAGAGGAATCAATAACCAAGGGTATAGATATAAGGTCAGCTTCAGGAGGTTTAGAGCGGATGTGAAGGAAATATCAGTGTTGGGAATCTGAAACTCACTGCCTGTAAGGGTGGTAGAGGCAGAAACCCTCAAACATTTGATGTGCATGTGATGCCAAAGCATATAGTGCTGTAGGCCAAGTGCTGGAAAATGGGATTAGAATAGTTACGTCGTTGTTTTTGACTGGAACAGACTTTATGGGCTATGGGGACTTTATTCTGTGCTGTAGAGCTCTTCGACTCTATTTCCACCATCTTTTCAGGGAGACACTTCCAGGGACTCACAACCTGTATATAGCTTCCTGTCGCCTCCTCATGGCATCTTCACAACTTACTCTCCTACCTATGATTGTGTCATCAGCAAATTTGGCAACCGTACTTCTGGTCCCTTAACCCAAGTCATTTACATAAATTGTAAACAGTTGAGGTCCCAGCGTCAATTCCTAAGGTTTCATCTTTCCTATTTACACGTACTGTCTGCTTCCTGTTAGCCAACCAATCTTCTATCTATGAGACCAGGTCAACCCACAGCAGGAAGACTGCAGTGGTTCAAGAAGGCAGCTCACCACCATCTTCTCAAGGGCAACTAGGGATGGGCAAGAAATGCTGGCTAGCCAGCGACGCACACATGCCACAAATGAATAGGAAAAAAAGTGACTCCTTATCATATACCTTCTGGAAATCTTAAGTACTATACATCTGTTGGCTCCCTTTTATCTAATCATGTGTTAACTGTTCAAAGAAATCCAAGAAGTTGGTCAAACATGATTTCCCTGTCACAAAATCATATTGCCTCTGCCAGATTATTCTTGAACTTATCCAAATACTCTGCTATAACGTTTTTTGTAATAGCTTTTATCATTTTCCCTGTGACAGATGTTAATCTGACTGGTTTGTAGTTTCCTGTTTTCTGTCTCACTTTGTCTGAAATAATTAATACAGCTGAAAATGAGTTTTTCGCCAAAATAAACATTTTCAATAAAAGTATCCATTCTACCATCCATGAATAGCCCAACTTTAAATAACATAAAATTACTTTAAAAAAAGCTATATGACAATTTTTAAAGTTTCATTGATGTACCACATGTTGGTATATGGGATGGGCCTGCTTCCGGCTTCTATTCTTGCTGCTCGGTCTCCTCATGTACATACTGTCCTTTACTAATTCTTTACTACCATTCGAAGGCTTAGAACTAGCTTCCATGTGAATGATGGTACCCAACTTTAAAACTCTATTACCCTCACTGCTTCTGTATTGTTAGACTGCTTATAAAACATCCCATCTTGCACAATCCATGATCTTCACCAGTTAGAAAGAAAGAGTGTGTCTTTACATTATTACTGCTGCAACTTCAGGACAACCCAAGTACTCTACAGACAATCAAGCTGTTTTTGAAGTGTGATCACAATTGTAACATAGGAACCATGGCTACCAACGTGTGCATAGCAAGAATCACAAACAAATGTGTTAAGAAGCAGTTAATTTATTTTTCTACATTGCTTGAGGGTGAACGTTAACTAGGGCACTGTGAAGAAGTTCTTAACTCTTCTTCGAAAAAGTACCAAAGGATATTTAAACCCCCACCTGATATGCAGCCTTGGTTTAACATCCCATGTACAACATGGCATCTCTGATAATGCAGCACTGCCTGAGTTCTATATTGGTGTAGCAACCGACACTTTCTTAAGTGGGACCTGAACCCAGAATGTTCTGACTCAGAGGCGAGTGTGCTAATACTGAGCTATATCTGGGACATAAACATTAAGAAGATGAAACCCAGTTTCTTCAAACCCCAACGGTAAGTTACAAATCACATGCATGACAGGAGAAGAAATGTACCTTGTAAAAATATGTAAACATGAAAACATTGGGTCACTTATCTGATTAAAATTATTCACTTCTTAAAGTTCCTGTCTTCATAAAGATAATATATCAAAACTGAATTCAATAGAATTGACCTGAATTTAAACAGGCAATTCACTCTGATTGGACATCTTACCATTTGGGGACACTACATTTGACAAAACCAATTGTTTGTCTTCTGGATGTGGTATTTTACCCAAGCAGTAGGTATTTATAATGCAGAGATTATACAAGGAAAGCCTTTGCATAGGCTCCTAAAAGTTATTGAAAATTGCTGTTTAGTTTAGCATATGAGCTCCTGCAAATTATAAATTCGTAATATCAGATTGTTGCATACATGTCTTCCTTGGTGTTCATCGAATGCCAACTTATGTACCTTTGCTGCCATTTATATTTCCATCGTGGCCACTGTCTCAATAACCTGGGTAGATGACCCAATAACCTGGGTGGAGCCATGGATTTCTTGAGGGGCTTGGGGACAGAATCAGGCTGCACTTTTTGAATTCCTAATCAGTCTCATCTATTCTTGTGGGGGAACTTTATCTATGGTTTCAATCATCATTATAAATATGGCAGGGCAGTTGTAACATAGGATCTTGATTTTTGAGATCCTCATTCCCTGTTCAATCCTGTCCTGGCCATCCAGGGAGCACGTAAAAAGCTGTGTCTGGGGATTAATGTGCTAGTATGACAACATGCACCTCAATATACTATTAACAGATAATATCAATGCACTGTTATAAAATGATCTTTAGTTGGAACCTCCCACAAATCCTACCTCCTGTTCCTGTTGTGATATAGAATTTTCATATCAAATCCTTTGGCTCTTTGAGCAACTTTGTATCCAATCCGTCCCATTCCAATGATCCCAAGAGTAGCTCCAGTCACCTCGACTCCATATAAATTCAAAGGATAAATTTTAGTGTCTGGAGAAGTTGAAATCTGCTGACCTAAAATTTTAAAATTAAGGTAGTTAGGAGCAATTGGTGTATTGAATAGCTAACAAATAAATATTTTTCATAAATGAAAACAGATACTGATAGAAATATTCAGCAGGTCACACATCTGTGGAGAGAGAAACAGAGTAAACATTTTAGGATGATGACGTTCCAGCAGAAATTTTTTCAGAAGCTGGAAGAAGGTGAAAATTGCAAGCCAATATTGGACAAACATCCCTCCTAGTCTGACAACGAATTGGCCAACAGTCTGTTGCGATACCACCACAGTGCTCTTTGGACTTAATTAACTTTTATACCTGTAGCAACTAAATTAAGAAGGCAAATGCAAATCTTCAGCACTGTTGCACCAACAAACTGCATCCTCCAAACATAAGTTGGCATTAGATGAACACCAAGGAAGACATGTGTGCAACAGTCTGATATTACGAATTTATAATTTGCAGGAGCTCATATGCTAAACTAAACAGCAATTTTCAATAACTTTTAGGGGCCTATGCAAAGGCTTTCCTTGTATAATCTCTGCATTATAAATACCTACTGCTTGGGTAAAATACCACATCCAGAAGACAAACAACTGGTTTTGTCAAATGTAGTGTCCCCAAATGGTAAGATGTCCAATCAGAGTGAATTGCCTGTTTAAATTCAGGTCAATTCTATTGAATTCAGTTTTGATATATTATCTTTATGAAGACAGGAACTTTAAGAAGTGAATAATTTTAATCAGATAAGTGACCCAATGTTTTCATGTTTACATATTTTTACAAGGTACATTTCTTCTCCTGTCATGCGTGTGATTTGTAACTTACTGTAATTCTACAATATCTTTTTAAAAGCATTACCTATAACAAAATCTATGCCATGTAGGAATTCACAATTTATCAACAAAGCCTGTAAGAAATGCTGAAAGCAGCAGATGATAAATTATAACAATGAATGCAGATTTTCAACATTTTTTGTCACAATTATGGGCTGGATTATTCACTGAGGGCAAGCTCTTTGCAATGTAAATGCTGAGAGTGAGATTGGGCATGACTAACCTGCCCTGCTTTTACAGCCTGTAAATCTTTGATTATTACACCTGATACACTGCCTCTTTCCAAGAAGACGTCTCAGACTGGTCAACCAGTGAAGGCCAGGAGCTCAACAGTGCTGCGGGTGTCGTCCATTGTGGTGGGCATTGCCAGTACTGCAGCCAGGCCAAGGAGAAAATGTTCAGTGACGGATACTGACTTCCAGGCATTTCAGGCAGGCCCTGGTGAGTGTGTATAGAGGTGGGGTCTTGACTAATAAGGTCCAGGGGAAAGGTGGATGTGAGGAGGGAAAACTGTCTTAGGTGGAAGGGCCTCCAGTTGGCACCAGGGACCAGTAAAAGAAGCATCTTTCCTTTCACCTCCAGCAACCTGCAGGGTCAAAGCTGCCAGGCTGCAGTTTGGGCCACAAGTCTTTTCCTGCAATTGGAGCAGAGGCTGGATGAGACCCTTATATGAGGCATAAGCTGCTCACTTAACTGGGCTCTAAGCAGGAAAGCTGTCCTCAAACCTTACAGCGCAGACTTCAGTGGGGTTGCGAGGAAACAGGGAGATAGCTGGGTTGCCACCCTGCACCCGCCCAACCAGTCAAACAACACTGTTTGCTTCAGATGTTGCAACCTGGAATGGCATTAAATTCTGCCTTTTGTACGAATTAGAGAATCACAGAATTGTTACGCAGACAGGAGAAGGCCTTTTGGCTGGTTGGATCTGGACCAGCTCACTGATCGAGTATTAGGACTTAGTGCCATTCTCTTTGTCTTTTCCTGTAACCTCATTTATTGTTTCTATGTAAGTAATCATCTAAACCTTGCTTCAATGCCTCAATTGAAACTGACCACACTTCCAGGCAGTGCACTCCTGACCCTCTGTTTACTGTATTAAAAAGCTTTTTCCTCACATCACATTTGGTTCTTTTGTAAATTATATTATATCTGTGACATCTCATTTTGATCCTTTTAGGAATATGAAATTTCTCCCAATCGACATTCGTGATTTTGAAAACTTTTATCAAATCTTGTCTAAGTCTTCTCTTTTCCCAGGAAAACATTTCCAACTTCTCCAGTCTGTCTTCATAACTGAAGTTTCCTGTCCCTGCAAACATCCTTGTAAAACTCTTCTGCACACTTTCCAATTTATTTAACATCCTTCCTGAAGTGAGATGCTGGGAACTGTAGACAGTACTCCATCTGAAGTCTGACTCCTTATCTTATAGACGTTAAGCATTATTTGCTATAAACTAGAGACAAGAGAGTAGAAGTAGGATTAATCATCTTTACACACAAATCAGTTCTTTCTCATTTACCTATAAATTGGATATATCAGGGATGAGTAAAAATGAGGAATTTCTACAGGGTGAATATGCGAAAGCCAAAGGTGCACCTCCTTCCACTAACTCCATCAATTCACCAAACTCCCAGCATTCATTTCAAGTTGCACTGAGATGCAGTGTGTAATAGTTCCGAAACCGAACAAATAGCTGAGCCCCAGTTACCTAAAAAGATTTAAACCAGCTTCCTTAATTTACTAACCTAGCTGTCCTACAGTGGATAATTTGCATACCTCTGCCTAACTCCAGTTCCTGAAATTTACACAGTTAAATGTTAGATTTCAGCAAGTTTATATTTTCGGAAAGAGATTAAAAAATTTCCTGAACTCACCAACTCTAGCACTGACCACTCGTGCTTGAAAACAGATGAGAAAAAACTTTTGAACAGCCAGTAAGTGCAGTTAGTCTACATGATAGCGTATTTCTGTGGTGCACAATTTAGTAATTTCAACCTGTATTTTCTCTGATTAATATATATGTTAATTTGAATGTTTATTAAAGTATGCTCTACTTCTTCCTTGGTTTTAAAGCTCTAAGTTATAGATTCCATATCATGTGATGTCTTTTTTGCCAAAATAGTTGACATTTTCAGCCCCTATCTTACCTTTCAATATATTCCTGGCAGATGCCAACATTAGGGCCATGCCCATTTCAGCAGTAGCATTGTCCACCACATGAGGAGTGTTGGCCACCTTCACACCAAAACTGTGGATCAGGGATAAGTCAAGATGGTCCACACCAACTCCATGATTTACAATGGCCTTCAAACATGGGAGAGATTTCAGAAGCTTTTCATTTATTGTGGGAGAATGATGCCACATTAAAATGACCTGGATTTTATCAGCAAGTTCTTTTTCATTTTTCAGGAATTCTTCACAGCAGATGATTTTGAAATGTTTCTCGATGAGTTTTGCAAACCTTGCTGGGATACCATGTGTTTCACTTACTGTAAAAACTAAAGCATGAGCCTGATCATTCATTGTCTGTGGGGGAGCAGAAATAAGAGATGTTATTCTGTAAATTAGTTGGATGTTATATTGCTAGATTTTCTTCTCACAATTCTTCACTTCTGTTATATCATGCAGGCAACACCAGGCAAAGAGTTAAAATGGATTGACCCACCAACATGTGGAAACCTCCTGGACACACAGAAACAGATTTGGAGTCAAGTCAAGGACAAAATTGGAAATCTGCATTTCTGGTTGGAACAATCCCACACTCAAGCTCTCTTGCAAGAGGTGGCATCATTGTCACAGAGGCCATACTCTTGATAGGTCAATGTAAGGACCAATTGCAGTTATGTTCTTGAAAACTCTGGGATCTAACCACTGTTGGGCCAAGCATCCCTGTACCTCACCCTGTTGTGTAGGAAGGCCAAATGCAGCTTAAAGGCAGCCTTCTGGCAACCCGCTGAACCACTGTAAAGAATTCCGGTCAATTACTCTGAGAAAATGCCACCAAACTTCAAAAGACAGAGCCTCATTGGCCTCATGAGCTGCAGGACTTCCATTTTTAAAGATATTAGGTTCGCAGAGCGCCTCCATCTTGAGACAACCTTACACTCCCCTACCTCCCTCAACATCTCCACCCCTAACAGTGTAACATTCATTTCCCAGTGCTGCAAGTCTTCCTAAAGGATCTCCTGCCTTGGGGGCCCGCCCATCTTCTTTCACTGAATAGTGAATTTGAAGACTCCCTATTTATTTTCTGCCTTCTAGAAGATTCCAACTGTCAGATATCCCTGACCTGGACAGGGATGGGGCCCAGAAATGAATTTGATTTATGAAACTTTACAATAGGCAGGAGATTCTGTCCAACCTGTGTTATTTGGTGACCAATTTGCTGAATTCATGACACATGGAATGAGTTAGCTAAGTCAGCATTTTTATGATGAAAAAAAATGTCCCACGATATACTGCTCAGCAGGCATCTGGATTTAGCTCACTCATCGTGCAAAGTAAAATTACTTTTACTGTCATTTTTACTTCACCAGTATGTTAGCTCAATTTATTTCTACTTCTGTCTGGTGTACTTTCATTTTATGTTTGTTAACTCTGTGCAGAGTAAATGGTTGAAAGAAGAACATTTTACACAAAACCACAAGGTGTAGCTTCAAAGAAAAATGAAAACAATTTTTTTTAAAAACTCAATGATTTTACTCCAGGGTTATTTGCAAACTTGTCTAGATGCTACATTTTTAATTCCAGGACAGTGCTGGAGGATTGATGTCCTGCACAAATTTGGATTTTCAGAATGAAAATCTGTAAAAATGAAAGGAAATTGCACACCTGTTCCACAATGCAAGTCACTTCCTACCACAGCAACAGTTTGATTTCTGTTGTTCTTTAGCTTGGCTGGCTGTTCTCTGCTGTTAATTGATTTACAATCTATCTGGCAATAGCAATAATGATGGAACCATCAAATCTCAGGGATGATTAAAGTTAAACAGGTAAAGCCAATAACGTATGAAATTAACAAGCCACATTGTGAGCTGATGGTGATCTAGATTTTAATTGCATCCCAATCGTATCAGCCAGGGGAGAGAACATGTTGTGGGCCAAAGGACAGTGTGCCAAATTGTTGCCACTAATTTCTGCTTTGCTACAATCAGCTGCCAAGTTTATGGTTTTGAAAAGGGAGATAAATTGAGGAAAATCAAAGCATTTATTTTGTTTCCTTGATTTCTGTCAAGATTTTCTATTTAAGTGCTCCTCAGAGGGATGTGATATTTCAGTTTGGGAAGCATGAAATAAGGATTGTGCTTAAACATGTGGCAACGTGCCTCAGTTGTTAGCACTGCTGCCTCACAGTGCCAGGGACCCGGGTTCAATTCCAGCCTCGGGTGACTGTCTGTGTGGAGTTTGCACATTCTCCCTGTGTCTGCGTGGGTTTCCACCAGGTGCTCCGGTTTCCTCCCACAGTCCAAAGAAGAGCAGGTTAGGTGGATTGGCCATGCTAAATTGCCCGTAGTGTTCAGGGAGGTAGAGGGCGGATATTAGGTGGGTCATAGGGGGATGGGTCTGGGTGGGATGCTCTGAGGTTTGGTGTGGACTTGTTGGGCCGAAGGGCCTGTTTCCACACTGTAGGGATTCTATGATTCTCTGAGGATCTCTATGGATGGTTCATCTTTGTGGTACACTATTCATCCTTAAATGGGACTGTTTGTTTCTTAAATTGAGACTGTTCTCATTGGAGAGAAGAAGGATGAAAGGAGATTTGATAGATGTTTTAAAAATAATGTGTGCATTGGACAAAGTATATAGGGAGAAAGTTCCACTTCGTGTCATAGAGTTGTATAGCACGGAAACAGACCCTTTGGTCCAACTTATCCATGCTGACCAGCTGACCTATAGTAATCCAGTCCTATTTGCCAGCATTTGGCCCATATCCCTCTAAACCCTTCCTATTCATGAACGCATCCAGATGCCTTTTAAGTGTTGTAATTTTACCAGCCTTCACCACTCATTCCATATACAGACCACTCTCTGTGTGAAAAAATTGCCCCTTTTAAATCTTTCCCCTCTCACCTTAAACCCATGCCCACTAGTTTTGGAGTCACATACCCTGGGAAAAAGACCTTGGCTATTCACCCTATCCATGCCCCTCATGATTTTAAAAACCTCTATAACGTCACTCCTCAACCTCCAGGCATAATAGCCTCAACTTATTCAGCCTCTCCCTATAGATCAAACCCTCTAACCCTGGCAATGTCCTTGTAAATCTTTCTGCACGTTTTCAAATTTAATAGCATCCTTCCTGTGGCAGGGAGACCAGAACTGACCACAGTATTCCAAAAGTGGCCTAACTAACATCCTGTACAACTGCACGTGATGTGCCAATTCCTATATTCAATGCATTGACCAGTAAAGGCAAGTGTACCAAATGCCCTCTTCACTACCCAGTCTAGCTGTAACTCCAGTTTCAAGGAAAAATGAACCTGCACCCCAAGGTCTCATTGTTCAGCAACACTCCCCAGTTCTTACCATCAAGTGTATAAGTCCTGTCCTGATTGGTCTTGCCAAAATGCAGCACCTCACATTTATCTAAATTAGACTCCATCTGCCATTCCTCAGCCCATTGGCCCATCTGATCAAGATCCCTTTGTACTCTGAGATGACCTTCTTCACTGTCCACCACAGCTGTGGTAGGAAGTGACTTGCATTGTGGAACAGGTGTGCCATTTCCTTGTGGTTTGTCGGCTGATGTTAATGGCTCGTTCCATGTCAGTTGTCCAGTCTTGATTGGTAGCTTCCTGGAATAACGTTTTTTGGTGCGTAATTTCTCTGTTGTATTTGTGGAGCCGGTTGTGTGCGTTGTTTATCATTACCCTTACCATCTTGCGGCCACATCTACATAATGAATAAGAAAATTTTCTTGCACACACTTAACAAATTCCTTGCCATCCAAGCCCTGAACACTATGGCTGTCCCGGTCTATGTTTGGTAAGTAAAAATTCCCTACCATTACAATCCTATTATTCTTACAAATAGTTGAGATCTCCTTACAAATTTGCTTCTCAATTTCCTGCTGACTGTTTGGGGGCCTATAGTACACCTCAATAAGTGATTATCTGTTTCTTATTTCTCAGTTCTACCCAAATAATTTCACTGGACGTACTTCCAGGAATATGATCCCTATGTCCAGCCGTAATGTTATCCCTAACTAAAAACACCACTCCCCTTTCTCTTCCTATCCTTCCTGGAACATTAAGCTGCTAGCCCTGAGCCCATTTCTGTAATAACTGTGATATCCCAGTCCTATGTTCCCAACCATGCCCTAAGTTAATCTGCCTTACCTGTCAGGCCTCTTGCATTGAAATAAATGCAGTTTAGTTTCTAAGTCTTACCTCGTTCTCTGCCTTGCTCTGCCTACCTTGACTATTTGACTTGCTCCTCTTCTTAACTGAACCAGCCTCAGACTTACCTTTTTGCTGACTATCTCTTGGAGTCCCACCCCCTTACCAGTTTAAAGCCTCCTGAGTAGCACGAGCAAATCTCCCCACCAGGATACTGGTCCTCTACCACTTCATGTACAAACCATCCTTCTTATATAGGTCACTTTTATCCCAGAAGAGATTTCAATGATTTAAAAATATGAAGCCTCACCCTCTGCTCCAGTTCCTCAGTTACGCATTCATCTGCTTTATCCTCCTATTCCTATTCTCACGAGCACGTGGCACCAGGAGTAATCCAGATATTACAACCCTTGAGGACTTTTTTAAGCTCCTGCCTAGTTTCATATATTCTGCCTTCAGACCTCATCCCTTTCACTTCCTATGTTGTTGGTACCAATGTGTACAACGACCTCCTGCTGGTCACGCTCCCTTTTGAGAATATTCTGCACCTTCTCCGAGACATCCTTGATCCTGGCACTAGAGAGGCAACACACCATTCTGATGTCATGCTGTTGGCTGCAGAAACATCTGAAACATCTATCTGTGCCCCTGACTAGAGAGGGCACTCCAGTCTTGCAAAATAAGAAAGAATGAAGACATAGATTTAAAATGAAATGTAAATGAAACAAGTGTGGTGAGAAGCTACCAAAGGTTAAGCCTCTGACTAACTGTGAGCTGTGCCATGGAGAATGCACCATTGTATTTGTAAAATTTCAGACATATTTACAGGAAACTGCAAGTTCACCAGTTGTGAAAGCCACTTTTATCAGAGATCAGATCGCAAAATGTAAAGCACCAAGAATTTGATATTCCTTCATTAGAAATCAAACTTGGAATAGAAGCTCATGGTATTCATGTATATTTCCTTCCCTGTTCCAACCAACATTAAAGGATCATTCTGTATATCTCAGCTAATTTCCAGATGCTTCATCATTCACTTGGAAATAGACAGGCTAGGCCAGTGATATCAGTAGCTTTTTCACTTTCTGTTAAGTATAAATCAAGGTCAAGCAATTAGACCAATGCCTAAAACAGAAAGTAAGTCAGGAAAGTGATTGTTTAATGTATTAATTTGTGCCCAACCGGCGT